TCTTCTCCTCTCTTTTTTTCTTCACTCTCTCTTTCTCTCTTTCTCCTCTCTTCCCTCTCTTTTCTCTTTTCTCTTCTCTTTCTCTTTCTCTTCTCTTTCTCTTTCTCTTTCTCTTTCTCTCTCTCTCCTCTCTCTTCTCCTCTCTCTCTCCTCTCTCTCTCTCTCTCCTCTCCTCTCTCTTCTCTCTCTCTCTCTCTTCTCTCTCTCTCTCCCCTCCCTCCCACCCTCCTCCTTGTCCTCTCTCTTTCTGCCCTCTCCTCCCTCCTCCTCCTCCTCCCTTCTTCTCTCCCTGTCTCCTCTCTTCTCCTCTCTCCATCTCCTCTCTCTCTCTCTCTCATCTCTCACCTCCTCTTCTCCTCTCTCTCTCTCTCTCTTCTCTCTCTCTCTCTCTCTTCCTCATCTCTTCTCTCTCCTCCCTCTCCCTCCCCTCGCTCCTCTCCCTTCCCTCTCTTTCCTCTCTCACTCTCCTTCCTTCCTCCATCCCTCCTCCGCTCTTCCTCCCTACCTCTCTCCTCCCTCTCCCTCCCTCCTCCCTTCTCCCTCCTCCTCTCTCCCTCTCTCCTCTCTTCCCTTACGTCCCTCTCTTCCTTTCCCTCTCTCTCTTCTATTTTTTTAGGTCCTTGTCATGCTTCAATTGGGGATGCAAGAAGCTCATCTTGCATGCCTTTTGCTTCGTTGCAGAAGACTTGTTGCATCTGAGGCCAGTCCCTTGAATAGGCCTGCCCTTACATGATTTTTGTTGCTTGTGATAATTTATTTTCCGGGAAAGTACTTATGAATCCATGATATAAATATTCTTGGCTGTCAGAGTGAATTCTAATCTGTATTTACCCTCAAGAGCTCTCGTTTCGGCGAGATTAATAGCCTTTTTTCTCTTTCTCCCCTTGCTGGTGTCCGTCCAGAGCCGCCACACAAGATGTACTGCACGGCCGAGGTGGTCAGCAAGGAGTTCTGCCAAGCCAAGAAGGTAAGTTCCCCTGGCGACGCGGCCTCAGAACCCGGGGAGTGGCAGCGAAGGCCCGTGAAAAGGAAGCCGCCGTGAAAGATGGGTATTGCACGCGAGCTCCGGCGGCGGGGAAGTGAGACGTCAGGATGGGGGCTAATGGCGATTTGCATAATGACAGGGCTATGGGGTTGGTGTTCTAGCCCCTTCGTGTGATGATGCGGCGGCGGTACCTGGGCTTAGCGTTAGAGGGTGGTGTCCTTGGTAGCTGCTGTGGTCGAAGGAGGGGGGAGGGGGGGTTGGTCGCGTTCTCAGCGGCGCCCCGAGTCGAGGGGGAAGAAGGCAGGCGAGTGCTCTGACGGGGCGCGTCGCGGGGCGCGGGGCGAGAGGGTCGGGTCAGCAATCGTATTTCCAGCAATTTGGCGCCTCGTGTGAGCAGGTGTTTCTGACTCATGCGGGTGGGACGGGCGGCTAAGTGGTCGAGTGTAACGAGGTGTTTGATTACGCGTCGTTCTTCCCCCAGATTTAAAAGTGTAATTAAGTGATCTGCATAACACGTTTGCACGGCCCGGAGAAGACGTATTGTCGAGCGTCGCATTGGTAGCCATAGTCGCAGCCCCTCAGTAGTCCCGTGTCTCCGTAGCCCCGGCGAGTGTAGTTGGGTAGCCGGGCGGTCCGGGAAACAGGTTGGTCCGCCCTACCGAATGGCCCGTAAAACGCGGCGGTCAGTGCAGCCGGGCGGTCCGTATAGGCGAGGTCCGGTGGCCGCTTCCCCCAACAAATCTCAGCAGCGGGGGGATGGTGAGGGGGAGGAGGGAGGGGGAGCGGCCGTACTAGACTTGTCTCACCTGAGGGCTGGCTCGTGCCCCGCGCGCACGCACACACGCACTCACACACATGCTAGTACGCATACAAAACAAGCGCACGCATACACGCGTGTGACAGGGCGTGCATACACTTGCAGACTCGGCGAGTAAATACACACACACACACTCACATCACTCACTCATTCACTCACTCACACATCACACACTTTAGGTGTGTGTATATTACGGTATATATATATATGTGTGTGTGTGTGTGTGTGTGTGTGTGTATGTGTGTATGTGTGTGTGTGTGTAAGGAGAGAGAGAGAGACGCACGCACGCACACGCAAGGCGCCCCGTCGTTTTGTGCCTTATTATCCTACCCGTAGCTACCCGGAGCGACCTCCGGTCATGACAGGCGTAGAACACCTTGCTCCCCAAGGTCGAGGATCCTGTGGTGAGGGAACGAGCCGCTGACCCTTCCCGTCTATCGCGCCATCTCGGTCTCGACGCGTCTATCCAATCTGTAGCACGCGACAAGGCACGCCGTAGGTGGAAGGGGGGATGCTGTAGGATACGGATCATGCTGCAGGATGAAGTAGGATATGGATCGTGTTGGGGGATGCTGTAGGATACGGATCATGCTATGGGATGCTGTGGATACTATGCTGCAGGATGAAGTAGGATATGGATCATGCTACAGGTAGCTGTAGATACCCATCATGCGCAGGATATGTAGATATGGATCATGCTGCGGGATGTCGTTGGATACGGATCATGCTGCAGGATGAAGTAATATTATCGATGCTGTAGGATATGGATCGTGTTGGGGGATGCTGTAGGATACGGATCATGCTGCAGGATGAAGTAGGATGATTGGATTATGCTGCAGGATACGGATCATGCTGCGGGATGCTGTAGGATACCCATCATGCTACGGGTTGCTGTAGGATATGGACTATGCTGTGGGATGCTGTAGGATACGGATCATGCTGCCGGATGCTGTAGGAATTTCATCATGATACTTTGGGAATATCGATCTGTAGTAAAGGATACTGTGGGATACCGCATATTTGAACATGCTATAGGATACTCAATCATGCCTTGAGATGCTGCAGGATATTCACCATGCGTCATGTTACCGCGGGATACCGATCATATAATGAAGGATAACTGTGGGATATGGGTCAAACTTCGGGATAAGGATTCTACTTGTGTGAACTGATACTAAGCATGTTGGTTGGGGGCGCAGGTAGGCTATGGGGTGTCAGGGAAGGAAGGGCGAGGTAGGGGTGGGGGCTTACTGATAGAAGCAGCATTTTTTTTTGTGGGGGGGGGGGCGGGGCATAAAAGGGTGCGGTGGGAGATAGGGTGGATGAGAGGAGAGAAGGGAGAGAGAGAGGTGGGGGGGGAAGGGAGAGAGAGGGGGGAGGGGGAAGGAGAGAGAGAGGGGGAGGGGAAGGGAGAGAGAGAGAAAGAAGGAGAGGAAGGGGAAGGGAGAGAGAGAGAGAGATGGAGGGAAGGGAGAGAGGAGAGATGAAGGAGGGAGAGAGAGATAGGGAGGAGAGAGAGAGAGCAGGGAAGGGAGAGAGAGAGGAAGAGGAGAGAGACAGAGACAGAGAGAGAAGAGAAGGGAGAGAGGGAGGAGGGAAGGAGAGAGAGGTGGGAGGAGGGGAAGGGAGAGAGCGATGGGAGGAGGGGGAAGGGAGAGATATAGGGGGGAGGTGAAGGGAGAGAGAGGGAGAGGGGGACATATTGAATGTATGTATATAGAGAAGTGTGTGTGTGTGTGTGTTTGCGCGCGCGCATGAAAACGTACATACATATATATATATATATATATATATATATATATATATATATATATATATATATATATATATATATATATATTATATATACATACATATATACATATGTACGATTATAGTGTATATACATGCAGTGTTTGTATTATCTATACCACTGGTTTCACCATGTGGTGCGCACCCCCTAAGTGGGTGAGGGGGCGAAAGGCTACTGTGGGGGAATGAGGGGGGGGGGCGAATATTGATGAAGAGGGTAATTATTATATTTATAAATTATGGCGAGTTTTAAGGAACTTTGCTAAGAGAAAAGCGCAACCATCTATCAATTTTTTTTTTTTTTCTGATATTTATTGACTTGTGCCGACCATGCCAGTAAATTACAGTGTTTGATGAAGAAACGTGTAATTTAGGGGGGGGGGAATTAGAAAAAGTTAAAAAACAATGATCTATGAGGAGGAGAGGCAGGAGATACAGAAGGAGGAATCTCTCTCTCTCTCTCTCTCTCTCTCTCTCTCTCTCTCTCTCTCTCTCTCTCTCGTCTCTCTCTCTCATCTCTCTCTCTCTCTCTCTCTCTCTCCCTCTCCCTCACTCTCACTCTCCACTCCTCCCCTCCGTCTCCTCTCCCTCTCCCTCTCTTCCACCTCTCCCTCTCCCTTCCTCTCCCTCTCCCTCTCTCTCCTCTCCTCCTCCCTCTCCCCTCTCCCCTCTCTCTCCCTCTCCCTCTCTCCCTCTATGTGTGTGTGTGTGAGTGTGAAGGCGAGACGTGAAAGAAAGGGGAACGGAGAAATGAATGAATGAACAGGAGAAACAGAAACAGAGAGAGAGAGAGAGCTTGAGAAGAAGCAGAGAGAAATGTAGACCAGCATAATCGCAACGGGGTTAGACTTGAACCGTATTCAGTTGACACATGTAGAAGAGCTGTGAATGCGAATGAATAAATGAATATCTTCACCGTACAAGGAAGACTTATTTAAAACCGGTGTCGAATATATATCTTTCCTCAGACGAACATGCAGATTAGTTTCAGAGGAAGATGTATGTATATGTATATGTATATTCGAAGCCGGTTTGAATACACCCCTTGTATTGTGAAGTTATTCATTCTCATTCACTGCCTTTTGGGTAGGGTTTTTTTCACCAACGGGGTAAATTTCAGGACTCCCTGTTGGGAAAAAGTATGTTTTAGTGATGGCCGGGGGGGGGGGGGGGGGGTAGAATGTAATAGATTCCTCGTCAAGAAAGAGATCTTCATGGAGTGATAGAATTTTATACAAGTATGCTATACAAACAAAATCTATATTTTAATCGGAGTGGGTGATATTACATAAAATCTAGAAAGAGTAAGATGGATGGAAGATAAGTTGAGAGATGATTTGGAGAAGAGGATAGACAAGGGAGAGGGAGAGAGGAGAGAGGAGAAGAGAGAGAGAGGAGAGAGAGAGG